GCTACATCCTTTAGCCTGAACATCAGTATTTGGAATCTAAAAGTCAAGTCTAAAAATGTGTTAAGGAATTCAGCACTTGCTAATTATTTGCATTTCATTTATTTCCCAACCCTTCACCTGCTTTTCCTCCTGTTGTTTCCTGTGTGACCAACAGGTCCCTCCTGCTCAGGGCAGCATGGTGATGCACATGCGGCCCCCCACCACAGGCCCCTTCCCCAACCCTATTCAGAGACCTGTTATGCAGGTCAATAAGCCCGTCATCATCCGTTCCCCCCCTTACCCCAATCCTGGCCGTGACCCTCCCCACTCCACCCCTCCTTCAGCTTCCGAGCCCCCAGTTAAAGGGCAAGAGGATGGCATGAAGGTGAGCCACCCACTGTAAATATAGGTAATTTAATTTAATCCATTTTATCTTTCTCTTATTTTGAAATGCTTTTCATGTTCACTGTTGTGTGATTTGACTTAAAAATGTAAACAAAAAAAACGAGTGTTGAATTCATTTTCAGTAATGTGAGACTTTTATGGTGTTACATAAAACACTTGTTGGTGCATATATGTACGGCTTACCAGGCACTGCTGTCTCTTTAATAAGTCCTCTGTCTTTTTTGTACAGAATAAAACAATAAGAGATGTACGCAAGGCGGTGGGAGAGGGCAAAACACCGTCCGGGGGCATGACCAGCAAACTCCAGGAGCCCCTACCTTCCACAGGCCAAGCCAAACCAGCACGCACTGGAGCCATCAAACCCCAGGCTGTCAAAGTAGAAGAGGGCAAGGCGTAATAATGGACCTTAAAATCCTCATCACCACCAAGCCTGCCAACACAAAGCTCATTGACCACTGTCAGCCTTTTTAAAACCCACCTTACCCCCAAGGCTCCAAGGCCCGGGGCCTGCAGGCAGACAACATAATGAAATGCCCCCTCTTGAACTTTCAGAACTGGACACTGTTATTTCACATCACGTATAGAGATATATAAATATATATAAATATATGCATAAACACAGTCTTTTAAACAGATCTCTTCAAGGTCCTCTTTAATTTATTATTAGTCACTTTTAAGGGGATATTGGTAAGGAGAAAAGACATTTTGTTTTTGTGTGTGCGTTTTCTCTGAAGTGGGGGAAGAGGAAAATGGCCAGCTCACACGGTTCATTTTCCATACTGTTTTGCCAAACTGTAATTACTCCCTGTTTATGGACTGCATCCCTTAAAGACCCGACAGAAACTTCATACAACTGAGAAACAAAGTCTGTTAACTTTTTTTTTTTATTAAGCAAATTTGAAATGCAGTGTGGGGCACTTTTTGTTTTTCTTTGGTATTTTTTCTGGTAAATAAAGTCACGACCCAGACATCCATACTAATGCTAAAAGACTTGTTTCATTAACCCAGGAAAAAAATAAAACACAATTGTTGGGCATCATGCATGTCAAACATAGCAGAAGTCAAGTGGATCACCTCAGAAATTCATCTTTTTTGGGCTACTTAACCCAACACATGAACTGCGTAAAAACTGCTTAGATTCTTAGAAACCTTTTTTTTTCTCTTTAAACCGTTCTTTGCTTTTAGATTCTGTGGCTCACTCTGTATGTAAATTGAAAGGAGAAAAAAAAGAGATGGAGGTTTTACCAAAATTATGTTGCTTCCATGGAAAGTTCACTGGCATCGGCGGCGTGTGCATGTGATGTGTTGAATGTGTGTAAACTTGCAGGACATCTACGTAGAAGCTAGCAACATTTCACAAAGACTGTGTGCGTGCGGGGGTGTGTGTGTGGATTTGGATTGACCACGCTGAAAACATTTGTGGGTTCATTGTGAAGTTTTGGAGGGCTGAGAGGTGGGCATTCACAGTTGCTGTAAAAGGACCCTCAGCTGATTGAAATGTTTGCTTTCTTATCGCTTTGCTTTGGGCTGTAATGAAATCAAACTGTGTTAATGAACATGTGATGTAAGCGATTTTTCTTTTTTCCTTCTTTAACATCCATTAGTGTTTGTTTTCTTTTTCTTTAGGGCTCCTGAAAGACTTTTATATTGTTCAGATCCCATTTCAGAATCACCGAGGGGAGTTATTGAAAAAAAAAAAAAAATCTCATCACTATTTGATAATTCAAAATCTGGTTTCTGAGGTGGCACTAGCAATAAATGCAGCCTAACTATAATCACAATCAGGGTCCAATTAATTTGTTTTCCTCCGTTAGAAGCTAATGATCACATAACGAGGGGTGTTTGCTTGTTAAACTGAAATCCACCTTTTTTTTTTTTTCTTTCTTTTTTTGTGCGAGCACAGCAGTTCCAGCAGACTACGAAGGACTTTAAAACAAACAAACAAAAAAACAAAAAAAATGTTCTGTTTGAAAATGTGAAGCTGATGGAATCATTTATTTTTGTTCATCTTCTGTTTTTATAACGGGCGCTCAATTCGAAACTCACGACGCCCCTGCCATAACTGTTACTGCTTACTATAATGCTCCATGACACTACAAATGTTTATCTTTACAACAGTGTTTCACTGCTATATGTGTATACGCATACTTAACTGTACAGTTGAGCCTTGTGAGCAAAGGGAGGCTTAAACTTGCATTTCATTTTAGATATTGTGGCACTATAAAGGATTCGATGTTTTAAAAAAAAAAAAAAAAAAAAAAAAGGTCACTGTGTTCTCAGAACGGACTGCTTTCACCTGTTAGGTTTATCGGGCTTGGAGTGTGGGGTTTTTTTGTTGTTGGTTTTTTTGGCCTCTTACCCCTTTCTTGAAAGGATCTTGGCGCTTCTCATCATTGTACCTGCACCGCAATGTTGCCCATTTTGAGGTTGTTTGTTTTTTTTTCGGTTTTTTTTTTTACTTTTAAGATGCATATTTCAGTTTTTGTCAGAGGACCAGTGCTTTCTACAGCTGATCCAGCATTCTATTTATCCTCTCTGACCTTTATCCTTTCAGGTATTTGGTCATTACTCTCCCTTGTTAAAGAAAAAGAGCTTATTGAGAGAAAATAAATAAAGCAGTTGTGATTTCTTAAATGCACTGTTGTTTCTGTACTCTCACTCTCGTACCTCAGATTCTTCTGATGGCATCGGGATGAATAGTTTGCAGTTTGTTGAATGTGTGGTGTCCTTGATTGGCAGTAAGGTTAACTGTGTACTAAATATGTGAGTTTCAAAAAAAAGTTTTAGGCTCTGCTAACCATGTTTGTTTTTAACACTGAAGATAGACAAGTTCAGTCTGAGGTGTTTGCGCCACACACCTGAGGACTGCCAGCTCTCGGTTCATCCTTTTTTTTTTTTTTTGTAAGGAGACGCAAGATTGGAAGTCACTCTTAATCAAATCTGGCCCACTGAAAGATGTGAAGGGGAACATGGATTTTGTGCTCCTCAGTGTATTTTTATAGGTTTTACAGCTTTTCCTACTGATAACGACTTCCATGCCATTCATACTATCCTAAGGCAATGAAGTAATAGATGAACATTAAATTAAGAGAATATGAGAACTTTTTGGCTCAACAGTTTAAAAAAAAAAAAGAATAAACAAAACCTTTATTTTAGTATTGTAGGACAGCCTGGCCAATAAGCTACCATCATTTTTTCATTAGGACATTTTATTTATTAGAGAAATATGTTTATTATATATTTATTTCTTACAGTTTAAGCCCTGAGAGTCATGTTGGCAGATTTCTTTCTTTGTTACAGCAACACTTCTTTATCATGTAGAAAAAAATGAGACATACTGTTGGAATTATACTTGTTTTTTCTTATACAATGATATCTTAAGGATTTAATGTGTAGTTAAACTTCTTTGTGCTGACAGAAAAGAGAATTTCATTTGGTCTGGCCCACTTAAGATCAACTTGGACATACCCCATGAAATCCATGCAGGAAATACACTTACCAGACACCAGAAAGGCAAGACTGGGTTGGACTCAGTCTTTTGCCCTCAGGTAAACTTTTTTTTGTTGCATGAATTCAACAAGTTGCTGGAAACATTCCCCAGAGATTTTGGTTCCATTTGTTGACTGCACATCAGGATGCGAAACTCCTGTTCCAGCACATCCCAAAGGCGCTCTAATGGACTGAGATTGGCTGTGTATTCATTCCAATGTCCAAGAAAGCAGTTTGAGGTAGTCTGAGTTTTGTGACATGGCACGCTGTCTCGAAGAAGCGCAAACTGTGGACATAAAGGGATGGATATAGTAAGCAACAATACATAGGTAGGCTGTGGCATCTAAATAATGGTTTTTGATATCTTTTGTATGATCAGCAAGCACTCTGATTAGAAATTCTGGTAAATTCACCAAGGCCCACAAAATAAATGTAAGGGTCACGAAAACTGAGAAGGCACAAAAAGAAAACTGAAAAAGCTCCACGTATTTTTCTGCCTTTTTTTCCTCCACTCTAAAAAAAACCCCACTCTACTCTCTTCAGATTTTTTTTTTACACCCACTCTATTATTCGGTCAGCAGTGGACACACAATGCAGGTTTTTGTGTCTTGGGGGCAACGCCTTTGCTGCTTTATTTCTTTTGTGCTGTACATTGTTTAACTGTAATCACAAAGTTACCTTTAGTAAACGTCCACATGTATTAATAACTTCCGTAGTAACACGGCAACAACGCACCTGTGTAGTTCAGGCACGGTGACGTCACTCGGTCAGAAATTCCGGAGATTTTTGCGGCGTAAAAAAAACAAAGGAGGCGAGTCTGGACGAAGAAAGTTTCTCCTTCCTTCCTGAGTGCGGAACGGGAGTTTGCATACCTCACCGCGCGGCTTTCCACGAAGCTTTTGGAGTGTTTCTTAGCCAGATAGCTAAGGTAACTTTTCTTTCTTCTTCTTCTTCGCTGTCTGAGGACAGAAAGATGCACCATCTTCTTCGACGTTTTTCTTGTGCTGCACTTGTGACGGTAACGATAAACAGCGAAAAAGTACCGCCTCGCTCTGAATTTATCTGAAAACTTACATTTTTTAAAAAAAAATTTTTAATTAGTTAATTTTCTTTTTTCGGCATTTTCTACTACAAACACAATCCAAGCAGGGGAAAATGGCTCTTGGAAAAAGATGCCTGTTTTTCCTCATTACTGACTATTCACACAGACGATCCTCGTTAATAGGACTTTTTTATTATTTAATATTCGTCAGACCCCGTTAGCAGTTCACAGAAGAGTTGCTTAAAAAGAAAAAAAGAAAAAAAAAATCCATATCGCTCCTTAACAGAACATACGGCAGCCATCTTTGCCGCATAAAGTTAACTCTTCAACTGATTTATGAAAATAAAAAATAGAACATTTATGTTCGTATTATTATATTGTCATTTTCAATTAATAGATGACTGTCGACTGATTTTGATTGCTAAGTTTATTTGCACTCACATATTCAGCTTGCATTTGAAGACAACGCAATGTTATTTATGCTGTTAATATTCAGATGGTCTAGTTGTTTGTTGTATAGTGTGTCTTAACTGTGTCTTAACTGATTCAGAATAGATAAAGAAAATGAATAAGTAACACATTTCTGTGCCTGTTCAAAACAAAGGAAAATTCTACATTGTTGTTCATTTTTAGCCTTCTAAAAATGAACAACAATGTAATAAACAAAGAGCTGGCAAAAAAAGAGGGGAAAAAAGCTGTTTGGTAGAGTTTTGTTACTTAACACTAAAGATAGAAAAGGTGTGTTTGCTCCACACACCTGAGAACTGCCAGCTCTCGGTTCATCATTTTTTTATTTTTGTAAAGAGACGCAAGATCGGAAGTCACTCTTAATCAGTGCATTGCAACAATGCTGAAATTGTTGCAATGCAGCTCAAGGTGCTTTATATTGCTGGCATATATGGTATCTATATTGGTATGAGCACCTTTATTCTTCACACTCTGAGGCAAGTTTTCTCGTAATTTATTTAAGTAGTCTCCAGGAATGATTCTCCAAGCCTCTTAAAGAATTACTTCATTCAATAATGTCAAACCGGGCTCTAGGGAGGCCAATCCATGACTGATAGCATCAGATTGTGTGTTTTATCTATTCAGGGATCCTTGGGATCATTTTCATGCTGAAAAATTAAGCCATTTTCAATGCATGCTTCCTAAGATGTGACTTTTGTTTTGTTTTTTCTGTGTTCATAATTCTGTTAATTTTGACAAGCTTTCCAGTACCACTGGTTAAAATGGAGCTCCAAATCATGAAATAGCCTGCACTGTGTTTTAAAGGTGGCTTTAGACACCCACAGTCTTACCTTTTTTCTGGCCTCCTATGCATTGTTGATGATTTGGATTCCTCACTCAGTCAGAACTTTTGCCACAGACTTTCAGTCCAGTTCTTGTTTAATTTTAATTTCCCCCTGTTTCCCTTCCTTAAAAATGTTTTCTTGACAGCCACTCTTCCAGTGAGACCATTATGTGTGTGTATGTGAATTCAGATCAACAGGAAGCTAGATGTGTTCCTTTGCATCACAGAAGGCCACTCTGCAGAAAATCTGTGTGGAATAAGAACTGTGTCGCCCCCTGGTGGTTTGTTAATAAACATCAGTTTCTCAGATTTCAACCCCAGAAATACAGAAAATGTTAAAAACCTGCCCAGTAAACAAAACAAACAAAAACAGTGTATTCAAAAAGATTAAAACAAATATCAAAAAGCAAAAGCAAAACCTCAGCTAACATATCGAACTGTTTCCATGTTCACAAACAAACAAATGACATTAGGCATAACATGCTCTCGGTTGATGCCAATACATTCCTATAGGGTGGTACTATAAGCTGAAACATCTGTGCATAACAGGTCTGCTTCTCTGATCCAGGATGACCGCCAAAAGTGCTGTCAGGCCCGATGAAGGCCTGATGATGATGCAGGAGCTTGATGACCGCCTGAAAGAGCAGATTGACAAACTGGAGCATGTTCGTCTTGCTGCTGTTGAACTGAAGGATAACTTGTCTGGGGTACTTTCATTAAAATGCTTATCTATCATATAAACAATTGTTTAATAAAATTGTATTATAAAGAAATCTTTCTGCTTTTTGTTTTGTTTTATTAAATTAAGAGCAACAGTGATCTAAGCCAGTCTATCAGTGACCATTTGGAGTGGCTGAATCACCTGTCTGAGCGAGTTGAGACTCTTCACATGAACACAACTGTTTTTATTCAGGTGGGAACGGGATGGGTTGTCTGAGGGGATGTAATGAAATGTCTGTCTTTTTCTTATAACTGTCATTTTCCGGCATTATCAGTCAAAAAACTGTCACTTCAGCAGTGAAGACAGGACTCCCTTCCACTTTTAAAAAAATGATGTCAGTAGGGTTCGCTTGGGCACTGGTAGGAAGACCTGAAAGTAAACACCAAAACCTGTGATGGCAAAAAGATTTAGGAACAGTTGCAATGATTGTTAGGGTAGTTTACTCATGAATTGGAAAATAACCATGAAAATTCTTTGTATGTTTTCCAGATGAATCCAAAACCTCGTGCATGGGCAGGAAAACAGAGTTCCAAATATGGGTACCGCTGGGGTCGTCTCCACCAAGCAGATGATGCTCTGTCAGAGTGTGGCTGGTCCCCCATTCGCACACGACGTGGCAGCGATGCGGCCTCTGAAATGTCCTGTAATTGGTGACCGTGTAACCAGCTCAATATGTCAGCTGAGGTTTCTAAATAACATGACAATGTTTCACATTTTGTTATAGCTACAGTTTTCATGCATTTAATACTTTACTGTGGTTTTCTTCTGCTGTGTACTATGTTACTGAACACCCTGTATTGTTAATAAAACCATGGCTTTTGATTTTTATTGTGAAAGATTCTCTCTTCTCAGCTCTGTCTTTTAGCAACTTGAACATTTTTACATAGTCAGTTAAACTCTCTAAACATTTTTGATATATTGCAAAGTAGGAAATTTGTTACTTTACTAAGTTTATAAGTTATGTTTCAAAAACTGTAAATAGTGCGATGACTTCACTCTTGTTTCGGCTGCCCTCTTTAGGGGTCAACTACTTCCATCTCAAACATCCTATGTCATTCCACAACCACAACTTGTCTACTTATTATTCACTCATATATTCTGTCTTCTACTGACTTTAATTCTTAATGGAAATCTTGTTCTCTTTGATTCACATGTTTGATTAGGTTTTATTATTATTATTATTATTTTAATTTATTTTTCGGGCTTTGGGGCCGGAAATAATGGTATACTGGGTTGTGTGGTGACTTCACACAAATCTCGTAACAACAATATAGGGGCACTTGGGTTTGTGTCCGTGTCTGATGCAAGGTGCTCTTTAACCGTGAAATCACCGCACGCTTTGACCGGCAGAGGTCGCTGCTGACAGGCCAGCATTATGTCATTGTTAACCACACTGTTGTAAATAAAGTTTTGGCAGAACGCGTGGTCGATAATTCTGGAAGGTGCGCCTGGTTAGTTAAAGTAGAAACACCTTTCCCCGAAGGAAAACTGTCAGCTAAACTTATTTTTTTTTTATATATATATTCAACGTTACGGGTATTGTGTGAACAACCGACAAACATGGCAGAAAGCGACTGGGACACCGTAACTGTCTTGAGGAAGAAGGGGCCGACTGCTGCCCAGGCCAAATCCAAGCAGGTTAGTGCGAACGCCTTATTTCGTTTGTGCTTCCGTACTTTTGCTGGCTAACAACATTTTCGGATATCTACCTCACTGAGTGAATTAATCGTGTGTAATATGTTGGTAAAAGCTCTTTGTGCACGTGGTCGTTAGTTGAAGCGATAAGAACCATCGCACATCCTTCTGGTTTACTTCAATAACAACAGATATGAACGCCCGTTTCCGTTAATGTTAGCTAGCAAGATGAACCGCCTCTAGGTGAACGGTCGTATTGGAGACATTTAAACAGTCTGTTTGAGTGTTTTTAACCAAGCAAGTGCTAGCTGTCTTCGAAGGAGGGCTAGCTAGCTAACCTTCCTGCACTAACTTGAAGTGTATTTTTCTTTATACCACAGTTTCTAGTAGCATATGGTACCTTCAACAAAACAAACTTTACACGGATAATGATCACACTAATGCCGGGGTAGCCTCTATATTATCAGTAGTGGATGGCCCACTACTGGCACACTCACTTTGGTGTTTATTTATACGAATGGTGGGAATGCTCATCAGCAGGCACGTAGCGAACGTCTTTAAATGCCACAAGTATAATTTAACTGTAACTTAAAGTAGTACTTTAAATGCAATCATTAAAATGACTCGCTAAATAATTAATTTTTGAAGTTTAAGAACTGATTGTGACACCATTTTGACATTTTGTTGTTGCTGTTTTAAACGTGTATTGAAAGGAGGGTTCAAGATGTCATTTTGGGCTCATATGGGTTGGCTGTGGTGTTATAAATCCTTAGGACACCTTTCTTAAATGTGACTTAAATGTCACATTTCTGTGTGTGAACGCTTATTCCATCTTGAGAAATCTGAAATATTGTTTGTATTCAGGTTCAGTTTGTGTACTAAGGTGAACGGTCTTAAATTCAGTCAATATGCTTTGATAAACAGATTGGTTACTTATTAACTAAATGGCATAAGGCTAAAGAGTGTGTATCAAGAGCTGGGCAATCTGCTGCAATGTTATGACCTGTACTTGTCCTATTTTTTTGTTTTGTTTTTTCCCAGGCAATCACAACTGCTCAGCGACGTGGGGAGGAAGTTCAAACATCCAAGAAATGTAAATTCCCAGTAGTTGGTTTTACACTATAAGAACGAAGTCCACTTACTCACCTGTGTTATGATTACTACAGTCTTTACATGCCCGGCATCTTTCGCATTGCTTTGATTTTATCCACGGCTTGTCATGCAGGGGCTGCAGGGCAGAACAAACAGCACCTTGTGACAAAAAATACAGCCAAACTGGACAGGGAGACAGAGGAGCTGCACCATGATAGGGTTCCTCTGGAGGTGGGCAAGGTCATTCAACAAGGCAGACAGGAAAAAGGCCTGACCCAGAAAGATCTAGCCACTGTGAGTAAACAAATGTATTATGCTTGTATAAACAGTGCACAGACTGCTGGAAAATGTGCCATGTCTGGTTTTATAAAGCACCTCAGAAAGCAGTCTACATGTATCGAAAGAAAAAGTAGTAGTTAGTAAGATAAACCAAACCAAGTCAGTGACGAATTGTTTGAACGTTGTTGCGAGATCAATATGGTCCATGTTCTTAACATGATCACAGTCATGGGCAAAGGTTTCAGCAGTTTCACAGAGTTTTTACATGTTTCTGGGGTATAGTGAAGAACAATGATAGGCCTTTCCTAAGCTGGGCGATATAAGATTTTTTTCATATCACGATATGTTTTTGTTTTGTTTTTTCATTTCAGGCGATAACAATATATATCACGATATAAGCCAAATAACTGTATTTGTCAGATTTAAATGTGCCGTTGCTCACAAGTAAAATGTGAACTAATCAGCAGCTTGTTTTGATTTAAATATTTATTTCCCATAATAAGCTCAACAGGGTAGATGTACTTAAGGAACATGAGACTTTTTCAGATAAATAAAGGCAAATATTGCAAACTACACAAAAGGCAGCCGCTAAAGAGTTTAAGTTTCAAAATAGAACAAACAAAACAGACTACTAAATAGTCAATTCCACTTAGAAACAAAATATTAATTCTAAAAATAAATCTTAGTTTGTGTTACAGAAGAACAGACAAAATTGACTAACTTTTGTCAATATGAAATAAACTGAGAACTAAAAGGAAATCCTTAATCTCTCCTTGTTGTATAGCTTAGCTTTTCGAACAGTTTTAAAATAAAGATGCTAACAGAACATTCTTCAAATCCTAGGTGCACATCCAAGGTGCAACTCCATCTATCTATAAAAAAAACAAACAAAAAACTTTAGTCGGACAAATGACGAATTAGCGCTTTCAGTCAGAGATTGAGCATGCTCTAGTGGGTGGC